GAGCATGCAGCAGTGCAGTCGAGACGATAGCACCGAGCGTAAGCCGGTGAGAAAAGGGCGGGCTCGATCAACACACCGAGCCCGACGACATGGATGGCGAAGCCCTAGGCCTTAAGGGGTTACAAGGCCAGGGCTCCGCACGCTCAATCAGAATCTCCAGAGTCCCCCCCCCGCCAGCACTCCCACCGCTCCCCCAGAGTAGCATGCCGCCTCGTCGCGGCGCAGGGCGGCGGCGTCCTGCAGCAACAGGTCGGCACACAGATCGGAAGGTGGGGCGGAGGCCTGGGCCTCGGGGGGAGGCGAGCGAGGGAGAAGGGCACCCGTCGTGGGGTGCCTGCCTCGTGCAGCGAGCGCAAGCCTTGACACGCGACACACCACGGCACACCTGCCTGAGCCCCCGACAACAGCCATCAGGGAGCACCAAAAAACATGCACATGTCTGGCATATGATTACCCGCCTATATCTGACTGGGCGATGTTCCCAAACTCGGAAAACATTCAGGCCATCGTCACAGGCCGACCCTGTTCCATCAGTGCAGGAGGAGGGAGAGGACCCCTGCGCCCCCGAGGAGGAGGGAGGATGTCCAGGGTCGGCCAACTCAGGCTGCAACATACCAGGTGCCATCGGCTGGTCAGGCAACGCACCCCCAGGACAGCCCCCAGGCAGCAGGGCAGAAGCGTCGGCAGCAGCAAGGGCAGCCCGCACGTTCGGGTCGCCTGGGCTGGATTCGAACCGCTGAAAAAGTCACGAGCACGCCAGGCCTGGATCGCATCAGGTCTGCAATGCCTACTGGCGCCATTTCGGAGCCCTTTGAGCGTATATTCAGTGGTGGCTGAAATGTTACAGCTACGGCACCTCCACTCCAAACGGGCTGGGATATACACCAGATCATGCTGCACGAGAGTGACCACTGACCCGAAATGAGCAGACGCCCTGGGTGGCATCGGCGGGGGTTCAATTGTTTGGCCAGCAATCCCAAAGACCTGGACAGCCCTGGAGAGAAAATCCCACGTGCGCTTCAGCTTCTTGATGCTGGCACGCTCGGCAGCCACCGCAACATCAGGTACCCTGTACATAGACGACCCAACGCGAGCGAACAAATCAGCCCAAAGGTTGCCACACCAATCCTCAACGTGGCGCTGAGATAGGTGGAGCACATCTTCGAGCTCACGGTGGGCAGGAACCCAAGTAACACTGGGCCTGGGGCGGCCCTCGGTAGCAGCGATTATCTCACGCCAGATGTCAGCATGCTGAGAACGAGCCCCCTCTAAAGACGGATCCCAAGAGGCACCTTCCCGAACGAAAGAGAGGTGGTTACTGCACACCTCGACGCCAGGGGGTGCAACCTTGATCGCCCTCAAACCAGCAAAGCGCTCAGCCCTAGGCACAGTCTGGCGCCCAGGCAGGGGACCAAAAAGGACCCTCAGAGGGAATAGGATAATGATGAGGAGGAGGGGGAGGGTGTGAGAGAGTTGGAGGACTGGGTCATGATGATGGCGATGATGATGGTGCTGCTGTGGATGATTATGTTGCTGCTGATGACGATGCTGCTGATGATGATGCTGCTGCTGATGACGATGCTGATGATGATGCTGATGATGCTGCTGCTGACGATGCTGACGATGCCGATGACGATGTTTATGGTGATGCTGATGATTCTGATGATGATGCTGGTGATGATGATGCTGCTGCTGATGATGCGGACGATGATAATGATGCTGCCGATGACGATGCTGCTGATGATGACGATGCTACTGATGATGATGATGATGCTGCTACTGCTGCTGCTGCTGCTGCTGATGCTTATGATGGTGATGCAGATGCTGATGCTGCTTATGATGATGATGATTATGATGATGATGATGATGATGATGATGATGATGAGGAGGAGGAGGAGGATGATGAGGAGGAGGATGAGGATGTTGATGAGGATGGTGATGCTGCTGATGATGATGCTGATGACGCTGATGATGCTAATGACGCTGATGATGCTGCAGCTGCTGCTGCTGACGATGCTGACGATGATACTGATGCTGATGATGATGCAGCTGATGCTGATGCTGATGCTGATGCTGCTGCTGATGATGCTGATGATGAGGATTGTGATGATGATGATGCTGATGCTGATGCTCATGCTGATGCTGATGATGCGGCTGCTGATGATGATGATGATGATGATGACGATGATCATGCTGCTGTGCTGATGATGATGATGCTGATGCTGATGCTGATGCTGATGCTGCTGATGCTGCTGCTGCTGATGATGATGATGATGCTGATGATGATGATGCTGATGATGATGATGATGATGATGATGATGATGATGATGATGATGATGATGATGATGGCGACGACGACGACGACGACAAGACGAGGCAGGTTCGCACACGCGCCAGATCTGACATCCTACCCCTCCCACGCGCCCCTTTCCCACTGCACTGCTTCTCTCTATCTCCACAAGTTGGTGTCTTAGCGGGTCCCTGGTTCCCCCAAACCACC